CCCTGCATGTTTAACTAGCAGCTGGTATTTTTTTTGCCTCTTGTGATGATGCACAGGTACAGAGTCCTTTTTCCCCGAAAACTTTCCTAGTGAAACCATAAGAAATGTTGAGTTGATAGGATACAGTTCAATGAACAAGCATCACCCTTCAGTTTTTTTGGGTCTGGAAACCAAAATCAGTTTCGTTAGCCCTTTTATAAATATTTGTCTGCTATATTTAATCTATACATTACCTGCATATATGTGATTTTTTGTTTGATGACTTTGGCTTGGAAATTTTCTTGTGGAAATATATGAAATATACAACAATATGCCTAGTGTATTCCCACAAGTCTTAAATAACGAAATATGGTTTTGACTTTTAGTTCTAAATTCTAAATAATACTCCTACTCTTATATGATTCTCAAGGTGAATTAAACATATATCAGGTTAATAGAGGTGAAATCCCAGTGATGATTGGACAAGATAAATTAGGCACTCTCATCGCCAAATAATTTCCAGCAGTCAACTAGAACTCAATTTAATAGCATGATGCAAGTCTTTCGCTATATTTCATGCAAAATGTTGAGGTTTGATATTTATTGTTATTTCGTTTTTCATTTGGTGTTCATTACCCATATTAGGGCCCGATTCATAGCGGCAAATCTCATATAAGGGGTAAAATGGTAAAAATAGCACGGGCTAGCCAGTTTTCATACTGGTAATTAAAAAATAGCCGGTGTTTGCAAAAGTCATTGAAAAATAGTCACTATTTATTGCAATACGGAAAGTTCTCCGGCACATGGAAAGCTCCGCATAATATACTGGAGATTAGAGCACCTGTGTATGAACTTTCAGTATATTATGCTGGAATTTTAGTATGCTATGCTGGAAGTTTACATGTAAAAAAATTCTAACTCCAGGAATATTTTTCGGATTTTGAACAGTGTTTTTGTTCAGATTTATCTTTATATGAAAAGTTCTAAATTTCGATTATTTTTTAAATTGTGACTATTTTTAAATTAACGCTTGTAAAATCGGTTTTTTGAATTTCACATGGTAAAATGCTCGTTAATGAATGTTACTTTATTCTCAAAAAGAAAAAAAGAGTAAGACTATCACGCAAATCTTCTTTTTATTAGTGTCACAAGTGATATAGTTATGATCACAAGAAAGTAATAAATTTTGTTTTTTCATATAAGCTTTGTACAACAACAAATAACATTTTATAACTGACAACTTAGAAATTATACTAATGGTGTAAATTTTTAAAATTACTTATATAGCTAAAATCTAAATAAAAATACTGTATTAGTTGTTTTAAATTTTACTTACTCCTTTTGTTTCAATTTAGATGACATATTTAGCTAATCGAGAGTCAATTTGACTAAAATTTGAAGTTAAATTCGATTAATTCAACTCAATATTTTAAAATTATAATTTAGATATTCAAAAATCATACGAAAAATACTATAAATTATAAAATTTCTCAAATACATTTTAAAGTGCCGGTCAAATTTCACTTTGTATAACTCTCCATAAACTAATAGTGGAGTAATACTTTAACAAAGGACTATAGACTATACTCCTTCCGTCCATTTTAATTGATTTTTCATTATTTTTTGTGGTTCACAATATTTAATTTTTTCAGATATCAAGAAAGAACTATGTAACTTCTTTTTTCCAAAGTTGCTCTTAAAATTAATTTTTTATTATTCTTTGTGGTTCACAATATTTAATTTTTTCGGATATCAAGAAGGAACTATGTAACTTTTTTTTTCCAAAGTTGCTGTTAAAATGAATTTTTTATTATTCTTTGTGGTTCACAATATTTATTTTTTTCGGATATCAAGAAGGAACTATGTAACTTTTTTTTTTCAAAGTTGCTCTTAGAATAAAGAGCTTAGGAGTGCTTAAGAGTATTTGTTGTATTTTTAGTGATTAAATTACGGTTAATATAGTTATTATTTTATTAATTAATATTAAAAAGAGAATGTTTTAATATATATGAATATAAAAAAAGTTAATTAAAGTGAGCGGAGTAAGTAGTTTTTAAATATAAGCGTTAATGTTCATTAAAGAAGAATCTACTTTTTGCTTCACCAAATATGCCCTTGGTCGGCCATGCAAAAGAACTTGGATATTGGACATTGCGCTATTTATATAAACAGCCAAAACCCTCACAAATTTTTGCCCAGAAAGGAAGAATGAGAAAGCATCAGAGAAAAAATGGGATTTTCAGTAAAGGGTGGTTGCCCTCTCTCTGCTTTATGTCCATGATTTCTCCGTTCTTAAAAAACCAACAACCCTTTGAAAAAAAGAACAAGAAAAGGAAAATATTACAACAGCTGATTTGCAGTGCACAAATAGCCATTCTCGTCAACAGAAAAGTTTTCTCCGTCAATTTGGTTCTTGACTCTATATAAATATAAACAGCCAAAACCTCTTGAGTCTCTAGAAAAAAGGGGCTATTGTTATGCTCTTCCTTTTTCTGCTGCCGCTGCTGTTACAACAGCTGATTTTGCACAAGTAGCCACTTTTATGTCCCTTTGTATTTACAAGGTGACAACTGATTTGCGCAAATAGGATACTGAAATGGGCTGTGATGATGATTTGCTTCTTTCTTTCTGGGCAATATCTACTTTACATGCGTTGAGAAAAAACCGACCCGTATCTTGGCGGGGCGACCCGTGTATGGCAGTAATTTGCAAACCGGTGTCTTGCAGCCATGGCGTGTGTCTGCTTTCTCTTTGCATGTTCATAGAATATACAGCAAAATCTGAGCCCTAGATACCCATTTTGGGTTCTTTAGTTTTTTCTTGAAAACCCAATTTTCAGGTGTAGTTTCCCATCAATTTTTTAGCTCAAAAGTTGAGGCATTTGGAGAAAAAAGGGGATTTTTAGCTCAAAAAATGAGGCAATTGGAGAAAAATGAGATTTTTTAGCTCAAAAAATGAGGCAGTCGGAGAAAAATGAGATTTTTAGCTCAAAAATGAAGTAATTGGAGGGAGGAAAAAAGAAATTTTTTAAGCTTAGGAATGAGGTAATTGAAGAAAAAATGTGTGTGTGTATGGGGGGGNTAGTTTGCATCAGCTCTAACCAACAGCCCTTTTGTATAGGAAAAAGGTCCAAATTTACCCCTCAACTAGCAAAATTTTCTACTTTGAGAAAATACAACCGGTATCATGGCGGGGCAAACCGTGTGACCGGTGCCTGCAGCCATGGCGCGTGTCTACTTTTTCTTTGCATGTTCATAATATACAGCAAAATCTGAGCCGTAAATCTTTTAGCTCAAAGAATGAGGCAATCGAAGAACTTGACAATTTTCGTCATGCCTATGATTTCTAATTTGCTTTAATCAGCAGCAATTTTTGCATATGTATGAGTGTGTGTGTGTATGTATTGTCTCTTTTTGTCTCTCCGTCTGTGACTACTTTGCTCCTGCATTTTCAGGCAAAGCATAGATAAGAGAGGAACTTTCCAGGATTCGAACTCAGGATCTCTTGTTTGGTGAAACCCATGTCATTTTCTTCTTAGTATTAGCTCAAAGAATGAGGTATCAGAGAGAATTGTGGTATATGCATGTAAAAATTGGATCTTTTTCTATAGCCATGTTGTTGTTGTTGCTCCTGGAATTTCTTCTGTTTCTCCTGTTGCTACTGTTGGGCTGTTTTATGAACCAAGCAGCAACAGATCAATGTAATAACAGGGAGAATTTAAGGCTGTGATGATAACATCAGGAGGCTGTCTTCCCTTGTCCTAAGCACCGTTTTCTGATACACTCACGAAAATGCCTCGATTGAAACATACATGCCCTGGAGAGGTTGCAGCCATGGCGGGGTAACCTGGAGAGATGATGCGCATCTATACATATGTTTTTTGATGGAAAATTTCGAACCCGGGTCTGTACTGCGGCAGGGTACTATTCTTCCACTAGACCACTTGTCCTTCTTTACATGATGCACATGTATATTGTTTGGATACGAGTCGGTTTTCTCCGTGACACATTCGGCCATTTACTTTACAATGAGATTTATATGTTTGGGAGGTTCAAAAGGATTAGAGAACTATAACATGAAGCAGAAGGCCAAATGAAAATGGCAAAAATCTCATTAGTTCAAGTCTGAGGCTGCTGGATTCAGAGAGTTGTGGGGAGTTGTTTGAGTGGTTGCCAGCAGCCAATAATCACTCAATATTTCCCAATTTCGGACCACTCTTTAGCAAAATAAGTTCGACGAGGCAGTGAAGATTTTCACTCTTTACTCATCAGATGGTTGAGCTTTGCTATATCTTGGCGTGTCAGCTTTTGGTTGGTCTTATGAGATATGGCAGCTATTTGGTTTCCGTGTCTCACAAAGGCTTCTCATTCAGCTTGCAGCCATGGCAGAGTTTAGCTTATGCCTGAGAAGAGGCTAATCTGAGCCTCCCAAGTATCTGTATGCTTTCAAAGATGGAGTCTTTTTTATGGAAGTCGAGAAAGGTTGACATTTTCTAAGGGTGGTTAGTCTCTTTCTCTGAAGTTCAGTATAGCCAATGAATTTTCCAGTACTTTTGTTACAAAGATAAAGAGTAACAGCCCTTTCATCAACTAATGCCAATTATGTTCTTGATGATGATGACGGCGACGACGATAGCCATGGTTATGGCAAACAAACAACAACAAACCCAGTGTACGCATATCTTATCCCTTACCTGGTGAAGGTAGATAGGCATGGTTATGGCAATAAGAGAAAATACATATTCTGCCCCCTATTGTCCAGGAAAACCTGAATCCTTAACCCTGAACTTTGTGAATGAAGCTATGATGATATTCTCCCAGAAGCTTGAAAATCAGATTTTTGAGCTGATTCGTATCTTGGCTAGGCAAAGGCAGGGAATTTATGAGGTAAGTTCTTATGTGCTTCTCACAAAGGTATCTGCTTTTTGCAGCCCTGTCGGATTTGGCCTTCTTTTCTGATAGCAGTAGTAAATACACCCTCCGTTCCAATTTATGTGAACTGAAAATGTCCAAATTGCTATAGAAAAGTTTCCATCTTTCCAAAGAGGCAGTGATGATATTGCTATCCTGAGCTGAAATTGGAGGCATGGAGAAAACCGACTCGTATCTTGGCGGGGCAAACCAGGATCATGCAACTGATTCATTTTGCAGCCATGACATTGTCGTCTTCTCTTTGCCCCATTTTACACAGATCTGAGCCTCAACCCTTAGTAACTTTAGCCCAGAAAGGAAGAATGAGGCATCAAAGAGAGAAATGGGACTTTCAGTAAAGGGTGGTTACCCCCTCTCTGCCATGTCCCTGATTTCTCCATTCAATAAAGCAACAACCCTTTGAGAAAAAAAAGAAAAGAAAAGGAAAATGATTCTGCTGCTTCTGCTGCAATAGCTGATTGCACAAATAGTCAATTTTATGACCCCTTTATATTTCGAAGGTGACAACTGATTTGCACAAATAGGATACTGAAATGGGCTATGATGATCTTTTGTTTATTCCTAGGTTATCTACTTTTACATGTGTGGTGAAAGATCCGACCCGTATCTTGGCAGGGCAACCCGTGTATGGCAATCATATGCATACTGGTGTCTGCAGCCATAGTGTGGTCCCTTTCTCTTTGCATGTTCATAGAATTACAGCAAAATCTGAGCCCTAAAAACCCAATTGGGTTCTTCAGTTTTTTCTTGAACACCCGATTTCAGATGCAACAACAACCCAGTATAATCCCACTAGTGGGTCTGGGGAGAATAGTGTGTACGCAGACCTTACCCCTACCTTGAGACTGTTTCCGATAGACCCTCGGCTCTCTCCCTCCAAGAACTTTCCACCTTGCTCTCTGAGGTGACTCGAACTCATAACCTCTTGGTTGGAAGTGGAAGGTGCTCACCATTAGAGATGCAGTTCAAAAAATGAGGCAACTGGAGAAAAATGGGTATTTTTTGAGGGTGATTGACCATCTCCATCAAGCCTATGATTTCTTTTTTACTTTTAGCCTGTGTATGTTTCTTTTTTCCTGATTTTGAGTAATTTTACAAAAGAGGCAGTGATGATAATATTGTCTCACTTTCTGGGCTAACACAATCGGACATTGAGACAATCGACCCGTATCTTGGCCTGGCAAATCCCCTCTTGTGCATGCAACTGGTGATTTTGCAGCCATGGTGTGGTTGCCTTCTCTTTGCCTGATATAAATGCAGATCTGAGCCTCAAATTCTGGGATTTGAAATCAGGTACTCTTGTTCTTTGGAATCTATTAGCGTTTGGCCCATATTTTAGCCCAGAAAGGAAGAATGAGACAACAAAGAGTTGGGATTTTGGGATTTTCAGTAATGGGTGGTTGCCCCTCTCTGCTACGTCCATGAGTTCTCCATTCATGAAACCAACAACCCTTTGAGAAAAAAAAAGCGACAAACCATACAATCCAAACAGCATCTGTTGAGTATCTACTTCTGTGAAAGGGGCTATGCTCTTCCTTTCTCTGCTTTTGCTTCTGCTACTACAACAACTGATTTAAACAAATAGCCGTTTTTATTGCTCTGCATTTGAAAGGCCTTAACTGATGTTGATCTTCAGGGGTCACCTGAAATGGGTTATGATGATGATTGCTTCTTTCTGGGCTATCCACTCAAGGCAGTGAGAAAATCCAACCCGTATCTTGGCGGGATGACCTGGTATGGCATCATATGCAAACCGGTGTCTGTTGGGGTAGAGAGGCTGTTTCCGATAGACCCTCGGTTCTCTCCCTCCAAGAACTTCCCACCTTGCTCTTGGGGTGACTCGAACTCACAACCTCTTGGTTGGAAGTGGAGGGTGCTCACCACTAGAGATGCAGTTCAAAAAATGAGGCAATTGGAGAAAAATGGGGATTTTTTGAGGGTGATTGACCATCTCATCAAGCCTATGATTTCTTTTTTACTTTTAGCCTGTGTATGTTTCTTTTTTCCTGATTTTGAGTAATTTTACAAATGAGGCAGTGATGATAATAATGTCTCACTTTCTGGGCTAACAAAATCGGGCATTGAGACAATCGACCCGTATCTTGGCCCGGCAAATCCCCTCTTGTGCATGCAACTGGTGATTTTGCAGCCATGGTGTGGTTGCCTTCTCTTTGCCTGATATAAATGCAGATCTGAGCCTCAAATTCTGGGATTTGAAATCAGGTACTCTTGTTCTTTGGAATCTATTTGCGTTTGGCCCATATTTTGGCCCAGAAAGGAAGAATGAGACAACAAAGAGTTGGGATTTTGGGATTTTCAGTAATGGGTGGTTGCCCCTCTCTGCTACGTCCATGAGTTCTCCATTCATGAAATCAACAACCCTTTGAGAAAAAAAAAAGCGACAAACCATACAATCCAAACATCTGTTGAGTATCTACTTCTGTGAAAGGGGCTATGCTCTTCCTTTCTCTGCTTTTGCTTCTGCTACTACAACAACTGAATTAAACAAATAGCCGCTTTTATTGCCCTGCATTTGAAAGGCCTTAACTGATGTTGATCTTCAGGGGTCACCTGAAATGGGCTATGATGATGATTGCTTCTTTCTGGGCTATCCACTCAAGGCAGTGAGAAAATCCTACCCGTATCTTGGCGGGGTGACCTGGTATGGCATCATATGCAAACCGGTGTCGGTAGCCATGGCGTTGTTGCTTTCTCTTTGCATGTTCATATATACAGCAAAATCTGAGCCCTAAAAATTTTTTGTTGAACACCCAATTTCAGATACAGTTCTCCATCAAATTTTTAGCTCAAAAAATGAGGCAATTTGGAGAAAAGATTGGTTTGTTTAGGGTGGTTGACCATCTCCACATGCCAATGATTTCTTTTTCCTTTTAGCTCTAATCAACAGCCGTTATTGTATAGGAAAAAGGTCCAAATTTACCCCTTTACTATGCTAAAAAGCCTTGTTTTGCACTTAGTACCTTTTGTGTTCAGGTAACATGACTTCAAACCAAAAGCACTTTGCTTTCCCAGTGAATGCAGTTGAGAAAATCCTACCCGGTTCTTGGCGGGGTGACCCGGTATGGCATCATTGTAAACCGGTGTCTGCAGCCAAGGCGTGTGTCGCTTTCTCTTTGCATGGTTCATATATACAGCAAAATCTGAGCCCTGAAGTCTACAACCGTTTGATGGTCTTCTTAAGCTTACGGCCATGTCGGGGTTTAGCTTATGTCTCAGAAAAGGTGAATCTGAGCCTCCCAAGTATCTGTTTGTTTTCAAAGAACGAGGCTTTTTGTGGAACTCGAGAAAGGTTGAGATTTTCTTAAGGTGGTTACTCTCTTTCTCTGCAGTTCAATTTAGCTAATGAATTTTCCTGTACCTTTGTTGGAACGAGAAAGCTTAACAGCCCTTTCATCAGCAAAATGCCAATTAATGGGATGTCGAGGTTAAGCTATTGCAATAATAAGCAGTAAATAAGTATTCAACTAGAGGGCAAAAGTAGAAAATGCTGTTTTAAGGGACAAGACTTTGAGACAATCAGCAGTCACAGAGCTCAGAGAGAAGAGAGGAGGCTTGCAGAGAGGAGGAATTCTACAAGGGTTCTTGCCCCTCTGCTACTCCAGTGACTTCTATTTGAAAAAAAATAAAATAAAATCAAACAGCCCTTTAAAATCGAAGAATTAACCTAAATAGCTACCCAACCAATGGTACTCTGGTTCTTGTTTTAATTTTTTTTTTTTGACTCAGAATGATCCTTATGTTTCGGTGTTGTACTAAATTCATCTCTGCAACTCCTCTCCCTGCCCCACCCTAAAAAAAAAAAGAAAACTGACGCTGTGATGACACTTTCTTCTCTTCTTTCTATGAGCAAATGAATGAGCGAGAGAAATAAAGGGACTCAGTATCTTGGCTGGGCAACCTGGATGGCAAGTGAGTTTTGTGCATGCAACCAATGTTTGCAGCCATGACAATGTCTTCATTCTCTTGTCTTATCGACAGTTCTGAGCCTCTATTTACTTTTTAATAGCTTGTTTGGAAGGTTGTTACCCAGTGTATTGTGTTGTTATTTAGGGTGTCTTTGGTATGAAGGAAAATGTTATCATGATGCAATCAGTTTTTGGTTACCAATGTATCCCTATGAGAAGAAGAAAATTGGGAACTATCAGTTTACAAAAGAGGCAGTGATGATAATAATGTTTCACTTACTGGGCTAGCAAAAATCGGGCATTGAGGCAATCTAACCCGTATCTTGGCCTGGCAAATTCCCTCTTATGCATGCAACTGGTGATTTTGCAGCCGTGGCGTGGTTGCTTCTCTTTGCCTGATCAAAATGCAAAATCTGAGCCTCAAATTTATATATCACTAGACCATAACATCCTTCCATTTTAAGCTAAGCAGTAAATAAGTATTCATCAGAGGCAAAAACTAGAAAGGTTGGTGCTCTAAAATACTTGGCTTTGAAACATGCAAATGATAAATAAAGAAGAATGAGGCTTGCAGAGAGGAGTCTTACACGGGTGGTTGCTCCTTTCTGCAACTCCAGTGACTTTTCATATGGAAGAAAAATATCAAACAGCCCTTTAAATCTCAGGGAAATTGTATTAATTCCCTGTTGAAATTTTTGTCCTAACATTAAACGCTCGGCCATTGGTATTCTGGTTCTTGTTGTAAGGTTTTTGACTCAAATGGTCCTTATGTTTAGGAGTTGTACTAAATTCATCTCTTCAACTCCTCACCCAAAAACAAAAAGAAACTGAGGCTGTGATGATACTTTCTTCTCTTCTTTCTCTGAGCAAAACAATGGGGAAAGAGAAATAAACAGACCTGTATCTTGGCGGGGGAACCTGGATAGCTAGTGATTTTATGTCATGCAACCGGTTTGCAGCCATGTGATGTCTTCATTCTCTTGTCTTATCAACAGATCTGAGGCTCACTTTACTGTTTGTCTTTGCCATACTGGATATATTTATCATGATGAAATTAGTATTTTTCCTTGAGCCGAGGGCCTATCGGAAACAGTCTCTCTACCTATATAAGGTAGGGGTAAAGTCTGCATACACACTACTACCCTCCCCAGACCCCACCTGTGAGATTACACTGATTTTTTTTTGTTGTTGAAGTCAGTATTTGGTTACCGATGTATCCATATGTGAAGAGAAAAGTTGGGAAATTTTCAGGAGAGAGCCAAGTGTTTTCGTTAAAGAAAGTTAGCCTAGAAAGAGAATTGACCCTAACAGAGGGAAGGGATTTTCTGTTAAGGGTGGTTGCCCCT